GGGTGTTGAACAATGAGAACACATGGACACAGGGAGGGGAGCACTACACACTGGGGTCTGTTGGGGGGAAATGGGGGAGGGATGGGGGGTGAGGAGGTGGGGAGAGATATCATGGGTAGAAATGCCAGATATCGGTGAAGGGGAGGACAGCAGCAAATCACACTGCCACATGTGTACCTATGCAACAATCTTGCATGTTCTTCACATGTACCCCGAAATCTAAAATGCTATTAAAAAAAGTAATTAACTCAGAACCACACAGCTTCATGGAAACTAAACAACCTGCTCTTGAATGTCGACTGGATAAACAATTAAATGAAGATAGAAATACTGATGTTCTTCGAAACCAACGAGAATGAAGACACAAAGTACCAGAATCTCTGGGACACATATAAAGCAGTATCTAGAGGGAAATTTATAGCAATAAATGCCCACAAGAGAAGTGAGGAAAAATTGAAAATTGACACTCTGTCATCAAAATTGAAAAAGCTAGAGGAGCAAGATCGGAAAAAAAAAACAAAAAAAACAACAACTCAAAAATTAACAGAAGACTAGAAATAACTAAGATCAGAGCAGAACTGAGGGAGATGGAGAAAAAAGTCCCTTCAAAAAATTAGTAAACACAGGAGCTGGTATTTTTGAAAAGATCAACAAAATAGACAGACAACTAGCCAGATTTTAAAAAAAAGAAAAGGGAGAAAATCAAGCAGATGCAATAAAAAACAATAAAGGGGATATCACCACTGACTCCACAGAAATAAAAATTACAATCAGAGATTACTACAAACAACTCTATGCACATAAACCAGTAAACCTGGAAGAAATTGATAAATTCCTGACACTTGCACCCTCCCAAGCCTAAACCAGGAAGAAGTTGAAACCTTGAACAGGCCAATAACAAGGGCTGAGGTTGAGGCAGCAATTAATAGCCTACCAACCAAAAAAAAAGTCCAGGTCTAGATGGGTTCCCAGCTGAATTCTACCAGTCATACAAAGAAGAGCTGGTACCATTCTTTCTGAAACTCTTCCAAACCATGCAAAAAGAGGGAATCCTTCCCAAATCATTTTATGAGACCAACATCATCCTGATACCAAAACCTGGCAAAGACTGAAAAAAATAAGAAAATTTCAGGCCAATATCCATGATGAACATAGATGCAAAAATCTTCAATAAAATACTGGCCAACTGATTATGACAGCACATCAAAAAGCTTATCCACCATGATCAAGTAGGCTTCATCCTCAGAATGCAAGGCTAGTTCAACATATGCAAGACTATAAACTTAATCCACCACATAAACAGAACCAAAGACAAACACCACATGATTATCTCAATTGATGCAGAGAAGGCCTTTGACAAAATTCAACAGCCCTTTATGCTTAAAACACTCAATAAGCTAGGTATCAATGGAACGTATCTCAAAATAATAAAAGCTATTTATGACAAACCTACAGACAATATCATACTGAATGGGCAAAAACTGGAAGCATTCCCTTTGAAATCTGGCACTAGACAAGGATGCCCTCTCTTACCACTCCTATTCTGTGTAGTATTGGAAAACAAAATAAAGTGTATTCAATTAGGAAAAGAGGAAGCCAAATTGTTCTCCGGCTTTGTTCTTTTTGCCTGGGATTGTCTTGGCTATGCATGCTCTCTTTTGGTTCCATATGAAGTTTAAGGTGTTTTTTTTCCAGTCTATTTGCAAATGACATGATTGTATATTTAGAAGAACCTATCATCTCAGCCCCAAATCTCCTTAAACTGATAAGCAACTTCAGCAAAGTCTCAGGTTACAAAATCAATGTGCAGAAATCACAAGAATCTCTATACACCAATAACAGACTAACAGAGAGCCAAATCATGAGCAAACTCCCATTCACAATTGCTACAAAGAGAATAAAATACCTAGGAATACAATTAACAAAGGATGTAAATGACACCTTCAAGGAGAACTACAAAACAAACTAGTGCTCAAAGAAATAAGAGAGGGCACAAACAAATGGAGAAACATTCCATGTTCATGGTTAGGAAGAATCAATATAATGAAAATAGCCGTACTGCTCAAAGTAATTTATAGACTCAACGCTATCCCCATCAAGCTACCAATGACCTTCTTCACAGAACTGGAAAAAAAACTATCTTAAACTTCATATGGAACCAAAAGAGAGCCCACATAGCCAAGTCAATTCTAAGCAAAGAGAACAAAGCTGGAGGCATCATGCTACCTGACTTCAAACCATACTACAAGGCTACAGTAATCAAAACAGCGTGGTACTGGTACCAAAACAGGGATATAAACGAATGGAACAGGACAGAGGCCTCAGAGGCAACTTCACACATCTACAATCATCTGATCTTTGACAAACATGACAAAAATAAGCAATGGGGAAAGGATCCCTTGTTTAATAAACAGTGTTGGGAAAACTGGCTAGCCATATGTGGAAAGCAGAAACTGAACCCATTTGTGACACCTTACACTAAAATTAACTCCAGATGGATTAAAGACTTAAACATAAGACCTAACACCATAAAAAAACCTAGAAGAAAATCTAGGCTAAACCATTCAGGACGTATGCTTAGGCAAGGACTTCACGACTAAAACACCAAAAGCATTGGCAACAAAAGCCAAAATAGACAAATGGGACCTAATCAAACTCCACAGCTTCTGCACAGCAAAAGAAACAATCATTAGAGTGAATCAGCAACCAACAGAATGGGAAAAAATTTTTGCAATCTGCCCACCTGACAAAGGGCTAATATCCAGAATCTACAAAGAACTAAAACAGATTTACAAGAGAAAAACAAACAAACCCATTCAAAAGTGGACAAAGGATATGAACAGACACTTTACAAAAGAAGACATACATGAGGCCAACAAACATATGAAAGAATGCTCATCATCACTGGTCATTAGAGAAATGCAAATCAAAACCACATTGAGATACCATCTCACAATAAAAGGCAGTGCTTTCCTCAGTGCTATTTTTCTTGCCTTAGTGACATACCAGTCTCTGTACCCACTCACCTTTTTTGTCCCAGGACTCCTCTATCTCCTCCAGTGGCAGTACATACCTGTGAAAATGAAGAGCAAATCCTTCTGGATCTTTTCTTGGGAGTATGTCATGATGTATGTGGGAAGCCAAGTGGTAATCATTTGCCTCTCCTTCTTCCTTCTCAGCTCTTGGGATTTCATCCCTGCAGTCTATGGCCTTATACTCTCTGTTCCAGATCTCACTCCAAACATTGGCCTTTTCTGGTACTTCTTTGCAGAGATGTTTGAGCACTTCAGCCTCTTCTTTGTATGTGTGTTTCAGATCAACGTCTTCTTCTACACCATCACCTTAGCCATAAAGCTAAAGGAGCACCCCATCTTCCTCATGTTCATCCAGATTGCTATCATCGCAATCTTTAAGTCCTGCCTGACAGTCAGGGACGTGGCACTCTACATGGCCTTCTTCCCCGTGTGGAACCATTCTCTACAGATGTGAGTACTCCCACCTCTGCTGCAGTCCTGAGAAACATCTTTGTCCTCACCTGCATCATCATCGTCTGTTCCCTGCTCTTCCCTGTCCTGTGGCACCTCTGGATTTATGCAGGAAGTGCCAACTCTAATTTCTTTTATGTCATCACACTGACCTTCAACGTTGGGCAGGGAGAAAGAAGTTAAAAAAAAAAAAAAGAATATGGAATCGGCTGAGTGTGATGGCTTATGCCTGTAAACCCAGCTCTTCTACCAAAGTAGAAGGATAACTTGAGGCCAGGAATTCAAGAACAGCCTGGTCAAGGATCTAGAAATAGGAATTCCATTTGACCCAGCAATCCTATTACTGGGTATATATCCGAAGGATTATAAATCATTTGACTGTAAGGACACATGCACACGAATGTTCATTGCAGCAGTGTTTACAATAGTAAAGACTTGGAACCAAGCCATATGCCCATCAATGATTGACTGGACAAGGAAAATGTGGCACATATACACCATGGAATATTATGCAGCCATCAAAACCGATGAGTTTGTGTCCTTTGTAGGGACATGGATGGACCTGGAAACCATCATTCTCAGCAAACTGACACGAGAACACAAAATCAAACGCTGCATGTTATCACTCATAGGCAGGTGTTGAACAATGAGAATACATGGACACAGGGAAGGGAGCATCACGCACTCGGGTCTGTGGGGGGAAACTAGGGGAGGGACAGTGGGGTGTGGGGAGTTGGGGTGGGATAACATGGGGAGAAATGCCAGATATATGTGATGGGAAGGAAGGCAGCAAATCACACTGCCATCTGTGTACCTAGGCAACAATCTTACACATTCTTCCCATCTACTCTAATATCTAAAATGCAATAAAAATATATATATACACAAAGAAAAATATTACTTTATTTAAAATAATAGTAAATCTGCTATGTGTTAACATAAGAACATATTTTATGAGAAAAACTATATTTCCCATACAAAAAAAAATTATTGACAAGAGTACACTCTTTTACTTTTTTCTTTTCTTTTTTTGTTTTGCACAACTTTTTAAATACTGGGCTTAATATAATATAGCAGGATTCTCATATCTGCTTCTGCATTTAGTCTGTTGCACCATGTTGTTTTGGTTGAAATATTTGAAGAAAACCCAGGCTTACACAGATAGTACAGTTGGGAAAATAAACATTTTACTAGCCTTGCCAGGTTACTGTAGATATTCTTTGGCATAACCAAAACTGGACAAGTGGTATATTCTGAAAGATTAGTTATAATCAGGAATCTAAATTCATGTCAATGTACTTTTTATATTCTATTAAAATGCATTGATCTCTCTTTCATCTGGTCCTTTTAGATTATGTAAGAATAACAATACATTTAACTAAATGGTTATAGTTTGATCAACATTGCCCAATTAGAATATGAAATCGAAGGCACCGGCAGAGATAAAAACAAATATCAATCTATAATAGAGATAGCAAAACACTGTATGTATTAGAATAAGAATGGGCAGAAGATCCTGGATATATTACAAGAGGTGGGAAGTAGGCTGAGATAGTGTAATGAGTTAAATTGTGTCTCTACAAAATGTATGCTTAAGTCCTAAACCTGGCACCTGTGAATGTTACCTTATTTGGAAATAGATTCTACAAAAATGGAATCAAATTCAGATGAAATCATACTAGAATAGAAAGAGGCCCTAACCCTATAAGACTGGTGTCCTTATAAGAAGAGGAAAATGCCACATGGAGAGCAACACACAGGGAGAGCGCCATGTGAGAAGGAGGGATTCGAGTTATGCAGCTGCAATTCAAAAATGCTAAGGATTGATGGCCACCACCAAAAGGTAAGAAAGATTTTTACCCGTAGTCTTACAGGTAACAGGACCTGGTTAAGACTCTAATTTCTGACTTTTGGCCTCCAGAACAGTAATAAAATGAAATTCTTTTCTTTTAAGCCACTATCTCGTGGTATTTTGTTAGGCAGCCCTAGGAAACAAATATAGATGGAGTAGTAGAATGTGTTGTGTTTCTAATAACTCACTTACCTCCTTTCCATGAAATGAATCCTACCCCACCTCCTATTGCCATTTGTATTTTAGTACCTAAGGGAATGAATATACCACATCGCTCCACTAGAGTTGAGCCTGACAGCATGATTTGCTCTGGCTAATAGAATGGGAGTGGAAATGATGTATGTCACGTACTAGTAGAAGTTTTAAGAACCATTGGGTGTTTCTGTTATGTCTCTTTCCTTCTGCCAGGAGAATGGAGGGTTCCAGGCAGGGATCAGCTTTTTAGCTGATGTATAACAGAGATACAAAGAGCCCACATGCCACATTAGCATTATTGAAATCATTATTGAGAGATTTGTAGTGGTTTCTTACTGAAACAAAACAGAGAATCTCAAATCAATTCAGATAAAAAACATTCTTCTCCATCAAGGATAGGATTTTTGTTAGCAAACTGACATCATAACTATTAAAATAATTTCGTCTATGAAGGGTGTCCCAGACATTGGCATTTAAAATCTCTTTTCTTGATGCCCTGGTACTCAACGGCAAATTCCCACTCTTTCTTTATTGCACAAAATTTCAATAATGCTAACCTAGCTTATAGTTCTATTAAACGGATTCATTTCCTCCGTTGCTAGTATAATGTTCTGATTCTATTTCTTACACAAATAGAGCCAAGACAGTGTTACATCCAGCTGTGTGTTAGGGATGGTGTGCACAGAGGTAACAGCTGAAATTTATGAGAGGACCACAGGTTAGCTATGTGACTTCACAGGTGTATGACGGTGGCCGCATTTCCTAACTTCTTTTTTTTTTAGGCCGATCCTTACTCTCTCACCCAGGCTGAAGTACAGTGGCACAATCTCGGCTTACTGCAACCAGCACCTCCCAGGTTCATGTGATTCTGCTGCCTCAGCCTATTGAGTCCCAGGGACTCCAGTCACCCACCACTATGCCCGGCAAATTTTGGTATTTTTAGTAGAGATGGGGTTTCACCACATTGGTCAGGCTGGTCTTGAACTCCTGCTTTGTAATCCACCTGCTTTTGCCTTCCAAATATATGGGATTACAGGCATGAGTCACCGTGCCTGGCCTTCCTAACTTCTTAGAATGTAAGTTCTTAACTTTGTAACAGAAAATAATACTGCTTTATATTTGAGAAGAGGCATTAGGACCATGGAATGGATACAGGTAAATTTTTAATATTATATTTTAAGCCCTTTCCTAATGAACTAAGCCAGTAAGTATTTTGGAAACAAACTGTAAGCACCCATGAGAAGACGGGTCATAGGATAATGTTTATAACTTATATTCACTCAGAAAATATGTATTCAAAAACCTCATGGGCCAGCCATTCTTCTCAGTACGAAAGATACAGCTGCAAACAAAGCAAACAAAACCCCTTTCTTGAGAAACTCACATTCTTGAATAGTAAGTTATTTGCATGTGTATTTTGTCATGAGCTCTTAAGTACAGATTGTAGTTGTTGTTAATTCGTACTGCAAGTTTTTTAAGTATGTAAAGACTAACATTTCTAATGTAATTGTAAGGCTCCGATATTGCCTAATTTTCTGGTGATATAATAACTGTGATTGCTATCAATACGAATTCAGAATTACATTAGCAGCACTGATTTTACAGTGCCCAAATGGATATAATCAACAACAAAAAAAGTGTTTACTAAACTTTCATTAGTCTGAAGATATAGATGATATGTGACCATTTATATAATGACAGACTTTACTTACAGACAATTTGAAAGAAGTGTCACTCTCTTTAGTCAAAGGCTACAATAGTAAAATTAAAACAAGACATTTATCTTTGAATGTGTCTTCCCTATCACTACTAATTCACTGGGTCATTAGCTCCAACACTGTGAATAGGTACTCACTACCCCTTCAAATTTAATTCGTATACCAGATAATACAGAAGGGCACACTTTGCACTGCAGCTAATAGTAGATAATGGCTCTTAGAAAGAGAGCAATTGCCTTATTCTGTGATGGCTATGCAGGGAGAAAAATTTATATATATATACATATGTACATTCCACCATTTCTTCCATTGCATTAGGAAATAATCATTAATGGATAATAAAAAAACTAAGTCAGATTTTGGGAAAGAGCCTATTCACATATCATCCAAGTTCTACCCCACATGTTAGCTCTATCCACAGTGTTATTGAGGTATAATTGGTAAGTGAAAGTATATAGTTTAACGTGTACAGAGTTATATGACTAAGGACACAAAATACCTCTGTAGTATCTTGCCAAAAACATTTTACCTGCATGTAACCATGAAAGGAAATTAGATAAATGCATTTGAAAAACATATGCAAAAAATAAGACTGGCCTATTAAAATTATTTTAACTTCTAAGGAGAAAATGTTTGGAAACAGTGATTATAGCAATGATAATTAAAAGAAATAAAAATTAACTATGATTTAATTATAGTATCATTGATTTATACCTGGTTTGAAAAAAGTAACAGCCAATTAGGACATTATTGGGACATTCAGGGACGTCATAAAACCTAATAGGGTCTTATGGTTGCAGCTCAGAAATGAAGAAGGATGAAAATACTATTGTTGCCTTCCTGCAAGCAAAAAAGTGAGAAAACTAAAGATTAATGAAGTTTTGTTTATTTGTTTTCTTTCTTTCTTTTCTTGTTTTCTTTATGTTTTGAGACAGTCTCACTCTGTCGCCCAGGTGGGAGTACAGTGGCGTGATCTTGGCTCACCGTGACCTCTGCCTTCCAGGTTCAAGTAATTCTTCTGCCTCAACATCCTAAGTAGCTGGGACTACAGGGGCATGCCACCATTCATGGCTAATTTTCTACTAAATTTTGTATTTTTTGTAGAGACAGGGTTTCACCATATTGGCCTGACGTCATGATCTGCCTGCCTTGACATCCCAGTGCTGGGATTACAGGCACGAGCCACCATGCCTGACCTGTGTGTCTGTTTTCTAAACCATTAGAGAATAGAGGTAACAA